GCCTCGCACCGAGGACCTATCCACGTCATCATTTACCCAGAATGCTTTGTGTGTAAATAAAATGGCCCTGTCCGTGTTAAATTTACAAAACTAAACATCCTACAGTATTTTTACAGTCTTTATTTTACAGTTAAAATATATGTTTATCAAATAAAGTTTAATGTTATAACTAATCGGAGATCCATTTAAGTAGACAGCTATTTGATCTCATACTTCTGCCATTTTTAGAGGAGTAAGTTACTGACTGCTTACAGTACAACAACTCCAAAAGTGATGTACTTTAACACAGACTGATGTAACAGCTAGTACTTCTAATATTTATTATGCGTGCTGTCAGATGAGCCCTATGTATGTGATGACTATACGTTTAGTTTGGCTCCATCTGCCATTTCCCTCCTCTGTCTCTTTGCCTGGCGTGCAAGCCTCATTAACATCAGACTCATTTCTYGCACTGCTTTCTGACCTTTAATTATTCCAGTTATCCTGCTGGCTCTTCGCCGTGGTAACCCAGTGCAACTGATACACAACAGTTCCAGAGGTAGACAACAGATGCAGACTATGCAAAATCTCAGTTCAGTTCAGAGCTTAATCATAAGAGTCAATCACCGGGGGGTTTCATCCAAACTGAGGTTGTTCACTGACGGAAAAGTAAACAAGAATGACATTCCGTTCTGCTGAGTCCATCTTCCTCTTTGTGTGATCATTTTAAAAATGTAAACACAGCCAAAATCAGTGCACAGGCATTATCAGCTTCCAACTCGAAACWGCAGCTCTGGCACCCTCAGAAACACAGCTTCAGAAAAACCAGCGGAACAAACTCAATGAACCAAACGTGTCCTCTCGCAGGGTCAGACTCGCAAGCAAAAGAGAGCGAGGCTTACTTTACATTAGCATTAAAACTACAGACGGTTTAGTCAAGTCAAGACGAGAGTTATGGGAGTTTGAACAGGGGTGAAGCACTGCAGGCAGGTGAGCGGCAAAGATAGATGTGGGACCAAATTTACATATTCATAGACCTGCCATTATACAAGCAGCAAAGTTGTAGAATATGATTTAATGTGTGTTAATGCAGAATATTTTAATGAAACAAAATTAACATTTCATTTGGAGGAATGGGTTTTAAATGATTTAAAATAGACACATTTGAAACAATAGGTTAAAAAGTTTAAATGTAAAATACTAAATTTGTATGGTCGCTAAAGGCTAAATGGGTTCTGATTATATA